CTGTGCAGACAAGAGCGTTTAAATAGTTTGTTTTGTTTCTTAGACTTCTACTGTTTGTCTAATACACCTTAAGTGTATTGTTATTTTGAGGCCCTTTTCTTTCCCTGATAATTTTGCCAATTTGTTTCACCCACAAACACATGCTTTTATTACCTCCTTTGTCCATATCAATTCCCATACCAATATCTACTAACAGTTTATACCCAAACAAACCCCCTTCAACCACAGGTACCAACAAGTTGGCAACAACAACAACCCCAGCCATCGATAGATGCACCCCATTCTGAGCATACATGTCATTTTTTCCATAGAAGTGTTCCCAGTTATCTATGAATGATGCTGCATTTGATTTGAAATATTTGTACAGTCGGCAACTGACACCAAGTGCTCTCGACAACCATTCATTTCCAACTCCCTTTTAGGGAAGAATGCCGCATATGATCAGGATTCCTCCCTTGCTCTAAACCAATTATATGGTTGTCTTAAACCTCTGTATCGGTGTATCACTCCTAACTCGTCCACCATCATTTCCACCAGTACTGAGACAAATAATGGGTTTGTTCCCATTTCCAGCCATAATATCATTCATGTTATCATTCATTTAACAATATCACCAATTCCAGCTCCCAGATAGCAAACCCTTAACCTGTTCCCTCTATCTCTGGCACAAAAAGTTCTGTCCAAATACGTCACCTGTGAATCTTCCCCAACCAAAATTCGCATAGGTACTTCCCTTACTTTCTGAGCACCTTGAGGTACCTGTGCTCCGCCGCTCCTCGCTGGTTTCCATTCCGAGTGAACTGCAGGCCAGTAGGCATACTACTGTATTTTATCAAAAACTATTAGGGTAATAGATCTTGTAATAATTTTGCAAAAAATAGTGCCATTTACTATTTTTAAAAAATTATTACAGGATTTACCGATTGGTGCATTCGGAAGACAAACCAAATTATTACAGTACTTTTGATAATTGAGCACCTGCTAAATCCAGATTCCAGGCAGGAAATGAAGGACGATCTTTGGAATCATTACTTAAGTAGATAGGAAAGCTCGTTTATCAAAATACATTAACATCATACATATTTATCAAAAAAGAGAAAATATCTCGGAATCTCCGAAACTCGGAAAAAGTCAAAATGGCTGACAGTATTCCACCAGCAGATGAAACTGGAAATAGGAGGACACTTAAGGTCTACAAAATCACCTAACTCAACTGATTGACAAATGTCAAAAGTTGGCTAAACAAACATCTCCTGATTTAATAATTCTGAATAACAGAGTAAAAGCAGCTGTTGATAAGTATGAAGAAATCAAACGCCATGCAGAGATTTATTTAACAGAAATGGCTACTATAGATTTTACCCAAAGGGAACTTCAGGAAATCATTGCTGAAATGACAATGTATGAAGATAAAATCCAAGATCAACTTGATCCTTTAATCAAACAAATATCTTAAGCAGGAACCCAATCCAATATGAGCTCATCCGCTCAGCAGGGCAATGCAACTATCCCACATATAGCAGCAGAGCTCCCAAAGGTACATTTACCATATTTTGAGGGCAAGGATGCAGACGATTGGGATACCTTCTGGAGAGCCTTTGATTCTATAATAAACTCCAAGGCTTCTCTCAAAAAGCCTACAAAGTTAATCATTCAAAGGAAACTTCCTAATGAGGTCATAGACAGCCAATGCATCCATTATAACACCAACATCTTATCACAGTGCCAAATCTTTGATGGACTTCGAGCTTACATACAAAGATTACGAAGCCGAGGAAAACTTAGAACACAAGAAAAAATCACCAGAGGTGAATCTTCGGACAAAAATAAAAATGTCCTAACTGGCAGTCAAAAATCAAGGCAACAAAACTCCTCTTCTGCAAAGTGGAAACAGAGTAATGTTGGCTCATATGCTATATCACCCACAGTTAAAGGAACTGTAGGAAATCAAGCTCCCAAGACAGATAAGACAAAAGGAGCTGCAAGTGCCTCAAGATATTTATTCTGTCAGGAAGCACATACCATTTATCAATGCACAGTTTATTAAGACTGTGCCAGTCGAATCAGTCGACTGAAATCGCTGAACAGTTGCATCCGTTGTCTACGGAAGCACGATACAAGTGAATGTAACACTCAATTGCAGAACTGCCAATATTCTCATAAAAGTGTACATCACATAGCACTCTGTGGTGATATCAACACTCAATCCAGATCATAGACATCCAATAATCAACCTGCATCTCAGGGAAAGCCAAAGATAATAATACCTCAACAGCTGTACAATTCTGTACAGTAATGAGTATTGTCAATGCCTTAGAAACAGAGACTGTTACCACAGCCATATTACCTACTGCACAGCTAGAACTATGCAATCAAGGAATTTGTATTCAAACTAGAGGCTTTTTTGATCAAGGGTCACAGAAAACCTTTACCAGTAAAAAGATGGCAGAAGATTTACAACTTAAATCTTCAAAGCAAGTATCTACATGCATATCAGTTTTTTTTTTACCAATTCAGGTCTTAGAACCTTTCCGGTAGTACAACTCAATGTCTGTCTAGGTACATCCCAAAGGACAGTCGAAGCCATAGTAGTTGATAAAATTCCTACTGAAATAGAAGTGACTGGTCTGGCAGCCACTACTAAATTCCTAAAAGAAAAAGGAATCCAATTGGCAGATCCTCTGCTCGATTCTGACTACATAGGGGATATCGGAATCCTGATTGGAGCTGACTACTATCATCGATTCATTCTGGGATCAGAGGAATCTATGGGTATGAATTTACTCAAATCAGCAGGAGGCATATTCATGACAGGACCTATACTAGATCTTGAACCTTCAACTCCTGAAAAATCACATCATATAGAAACTGTAATCGTGGCTTGACTAGGCAAAGAACAGTCACCACTTAATATCCCCCACATGATTGATGATGGATTGGAATCTGTACATCAATTGTGGGAACTTGATGCCATAGGAATAATTCCTGAACAACCAAGTCCTGATGATGTCTGTGCATACAATCAGTACTTAGAAACTGTACAGTACCATGATGGACAGTACTGGGTAAGGCTACCTTGGAAAATCAACCATAAAACCTTACCTACCAATTATCACATGGCTTACAGTCAATTTACATATCAATTAGCAAAGCTAAGAAAAAGGCCTGAGTATTTAAAACTCTATCATGAGATTATTGTTCAACAATTAAAGAATAAATTCATCGAAGTCGTGAAACACGACAATAAGCAAACAGGCCATTTTTTACCTCACATGGCTGTAATGAGAGAATAAAAAACGACTCCTTTACTAATAGTTTTCTGGACCCAAAAGGAACCAGTCTGAATGATTGTTTGCAAACAGGTCCAAGTCTAACTCAGAAATTTGTATGACATACTGCTGAAGTTTAGACTTAACAAATATGCGTTTTCAGCTGATATTAGTAAGGCCTTTCTAAGAATTGGCTTACAGGAAGAAGATAGGGACTTCACTAAGTTTCTATGGGTAGAGAACCCAGAAGATATCAATAGTCCTATTGTGACTTACAGATTCTCCTCAGTTCTCTTCGGCACGACGTTAAGTCCATTTTTGCTGCAAGCAACTCTAGATACTCATCTGAAGAAATCATCAAGTCCCTATAAGGCTGAAATCAGTCAAAATCTATATGTAGATAATTTTCAAGGGACAGTTAACAGTACTACTGAACTGTTATAATTATATCAAGAGACCAACAAGGAGCTGCAAGGGGCCAACAGGCCACTACAATCATGGGCCTCTAATAATGCAATCATGGCCTGTTACTGTCCAGGCCATGTTACTGTTACTTGTGACCTGTTACTGTGACATGGCCTGTTACTGTCCAGGCCATGTTACTGTTACTTGTGGCCAGTTACTGTCCAGGCCATGTTACTGTTACTTGTGGCCTGTTACTGTCCAACTTTAATTCTTCCTCTAGAAGTTGACCAGTAACTCCTCTACACTGCCTGTGGAGTACTGCTAAGTGTAATGTCCCTCCTGGAGGCTTAAACCTCCCATATATGGGACCGACATGCGACACTCCCCGTTACTCTGTCTTCTAGGTGCCTAGTGACGGCAAGCGACGTTTCCCGCCTAGTACCTCTGATGCTGACGTCACACTACGTCTCGCCATTGGCGCTCTCTGATTGGTCAGACTTGACACCCCCCCCCCCCCTTCACGCATCCGAGCAATTATATTCCTTAAAACCAGGAGACACAGTGTCACCGCAACTGGAGTATCTGGAGGAAATTCGCCGCCTTCTCCCTGAGTCGAACTACAATATATGCTGCAGAGCTCACACTTACCTTCTCAACAACGGCCCTAAAACTTATATATTTCAAATCTTCAGCTTCTCGCCGTCCTCTAAATATTATTAAACAAAAGAAGGTGGTTTTTTGGCTATGTACATAAGGAATATGACTTAATGGTCGGGCGAAGAGCGTATTCAGACGGTCTATGTATCATGTGTCAGCTGTTGAGGGTGTAGAGAACAGTAGAGAGGTGTCAGGTGTTGAGGGTGTAGAGAACAGTAGAGAGGTGTCAGGTGTTGAGGGTGTAGAGAACAGTAGAGAGGTGTCAGGTGTTGAGGTGTAGAGAACAGTAGTGAGGTGTCAGGTGTTGAGGGTGTAGAGAACAGTAGTGAGGTGTCAGGTGTGAGGGTGTAGAGAACAGTAGTGAGGTGTCAGGTGTTGAGGGTGTAGAGAACAGTAGTGAGGTGTCAGGTGTTGAGGGTGTAGAGAACAGTAGTGAGGTGTCAGGTGTTGAGGGTGTAGAGAACAGTAGTGAGGTGTCAGGTGTTGAGGGTGTAGAGAACAGTAGTGAGGGTCAGGTGTTGAGGGTGTAGAGAACAGTAGTGAGGTGTCAGGTGTTGAGGGTGTAGAAAACAGTAGTGAGGTGTCAGGTGTTGAGGGTGTAGAGAACAGTAGTGAGGTGTCAGGTGTTGAGTGTGATGAGTGAAGAACAACATATAAACACACACTTACCTGTAAAGGTGTTGTGACTGTTGTGACAGGTGTTGTTGATCTCATTGATGTAAATGTCCATGAAGTCTCTGGGGGAGTGAGGGTCCAGCGTCTCTCGGTGCTCCTGCACGCTTCTCTGTATTACAGTCAAAACAGCCAGCTTTTTGTACATTTACATAATATCATTGTTCAATTCATTGTTCACATATCTGATCAATATATTTTTCACAATTAGGTCGTTTGAATGAAAAACCTAATTTCGATAATAAATAATTTAGTTGAAAACTTTATCTCTATATGAAAGTCTCTAACTTAGTATATATAACGCTAATCATGAAAATATTACAGTAATTTACTTTGCAATTTACACCAACGTAAATATTCCCAATAATCCTTAATTATATGTAACACAGTCAAGCTAGGTAATTAATAACTCATCCAATAGATTTAATATTTCTAAAGTTATTTAAAATATACAAAATCGCTCTGGCTATTATATTAGGTAAAGCGAAGTTTTCCCACTCAGTCTAGTAGTCGTGCTCTGATCCTTAAGTGTGACAAAAGTGTATCATCCACAGATCTGGTTTATGAAGACAATAACGCCATCTATAATTGACTACGCAGTTGTATGACATTTTCACCGGCTGGGTACAAATGACAAGCGGAGAAGTGCATGAGTTTGTCCTGGCCAATCACCAAATTGATAAGTACTTGCTGTAACAACCTAATTTGCCGTGACTAATCTAGCGCTCCGTGGATCAGCTCCATTTTGTTTCAAGTCCAGAACTTTCTGAATTAATGTTCTTTACTCGTTGCATTAAAACTCATGAAAGTCATATATTATTTTATATTTACACAATGCAAATACTTTTAGTTATTCGAAATAAGGAGTTTAAAGGATGCTTTAGGAAACTATTTGCGGCCTTGGTGATGGTTATTGGCGGAGCTGAGACATATAGTGTTGAGCCCACTTACACGAGCCCTCAGTCACAACTACTGGTCCTCAGTCTGCGTGTTAGCATCAGTCTTGTTCTCATGTTATGGCCCATAACTCCATAACTAACATATGTTAATACACCCATACATATAATGAGGGCACTGACCTTGATGAAGTCCCGGACGGAGAACATCACGTCCATTACCACATGGAAGGTGGAGGACTTGGGCAGCAGGTGGCGTAGGGCAGGGAACACGCTCACCACTCCTCCAGTGGCCTCATGGTCACCAGGCGCTGGCATTAGTACGTCTCTCACCCCTCCACCTAGCTCCTTACTTCACCCCCTCCACCCTAGCTCCTTACCCCACCCCTCCACCCTAGCTCCTTACCCCCCCACCACCCTAGCTCCTTACTTCACCCCTCACCTAGCCTTCACCCTAGCTCCTTACCTCACCCCTCCACCCTAGCTCCTTACCTCACCCCTCCACCCTAGCTCCTTACCAACCCCCCCACCCTAGCTCCTTACCTTCACCCCTCTTACCTCACCCTAGCTCCTTACCTCCCCCTCCACCCTAGCTCCTACCTCACCCCTCACCCTAGCTCACCCTAGCTCCTTACCTCACCCCTCCACCCTAGCTCCTTACCTCACCCCTCCACCCTAGCTCCTTACCTTACCCCACCACCCTAGCTCCTTACCTCACCCCTCCACCCTAGCTCCTTACCTCACCCCTCCACCCTAGGGATCAGAGGAATCTATGGGTATGAATTTACTCAAATCAGCAGGAGGCATATTCATGACAGGACCTATACTAGATCTTGAACCTTCAAACTCCTGAAAAAATCACATCATATAGAAACTGTAATCGTGGCTTGACTAGGCAAAGAACAGTCACCACTTAATATCCCCCACATGATTGATGATGGATTGGAATCTGTACATCAATTGTGGGAATTGATGCCATAGGAATAATTCCTGAACAAACCAAGTCCTGATGATGTCTGTGCATACAATCAGTACTTAGAAACTGTACAGTACCATGATGGACAGTACTGGGTAAGGCTACCTTGGAAAATCAACCATAAAACCTACCTACCAATTATCACATGGCTTACAGTCAATTTACATATCAATTAGCAAAGCTAAGAAAAAGGCCTGAGTATTTAAAACTCTATCATGAGATTATTGTTCAACAATTAAAGAATAAATTCATCGAAGTCGTGAAACACGACAATTAACACTTTCGCGCTTTCGATTAGAGATAACTCGTCACTGGTTTTTCTTACGATTCCGCATAACTGCCTACTTTTCTCGTCAATCGAAAAAATATTTTTATAAATTCCATTTTTTAACCGAAATGGATGGGGATACTCTCAGATTGTTCTCCATGAAATTCCCGTTCTCCCTCACCGAACACATGGCATCTCGGCCTACCTGGTCACGTGGTCAGCCCATTGTTTTGTTGACACCCCAAGTGCCCACACTGCGCTCCCCTCTCGCGGCAAACGTGACCCGTTTTACGCATTTATTTCCGTACCGTTTCCGTTCTCGTGTACCTAAAACCCATTCAATACCTTCAACATGGATGCTGCACCAGGAACAAGCAGTGGAACGCAAAACAAAGGTAGGAAATCTAGGAAAGCAGAAGAGATCGCCAGGATTTTCGATCTGTATCGTGGGGTCAATCTCACTCAATCCAAGATTCCCGACGTTGTTGAAGCCTTTTCAGGGTCTTCTGATGATGATTTGGAGGCTGACGAACCGGAAAATGATGTTCTTTATGAGGTTTCCTCAAGTGATGAAGATATTTCGAGTGAGAGTGATGAAGAAGCCCCAGCCCCGCCACGCGGTAACCGCACGTGTCCGGTACCAAAGAGGGCTAGGCTGGGTGATGAGTGGAATCGTAGCAATACTCCTCCCATCGTTGATGACTTTACTGCAACCCCTGGCCTAACAATTCCACTACCTGCTACTCCATTGCAGTTTTTACAATTATTTTTCACTAGAGCAGTGGTTGAATACTTAGCGTATGAAACAAATTTGCATGCCACACACGTCATACATCTCATGGCTGAGTCAGCAAGAAAAACGTGGAAACCAGTGTCGGTGAAAGAAATAGCCCGATATTTAGCCCTGTGCATACTGATGGGCATAGTGAAGATGCCTACAATGAGGATGTACTGGCAGACGAATCAGATGTGGCATTGTCGATTCTTCAACTTGTTTATGTCGTCTGCTCGGTTCCAACACATTTCTAAGTTCTTCCACATGTATAACAAAAAAGGCGTTCCAGTGAATAATAGTGACCGATTGATAAAAGTTAGACCACTAATGGACTATTTTTCAGAAAAATTTGAATCTGTATATATCCCCAAAAAAGAATTGAGTCTCGATGAGGGTACAATGGCTTGGCGAGGCCGCCTCTCTTTCAAGGTCTACAATCCCAACAAGCCTGATAAATATGGTGTAAAATTTTATATGTTGGCCGAAGGGAAATCAGGCTACATATATAAATTTGATGTGTATTGTGGAATTGGAAAAACGACAGTGGAAACCGTGATGGGGTTGATGGCGCCCCTAGTCAACAAGGGTTATCATTTGTATATGGATAACTACTATAACTCGGTAAGCCTAACAGAACAATTACGTGAAGTTGGTGTTTACACATGTGGCACACTTAGACTCCAACGTGGCGCCCCCAAGGATCTGCAACAAGTTCTAAAGGGTAAAATGGCAACCGACACGACCGTATACATGCGTAAGGATAACACCTTTGTTATAGTTTGGAAGGACAAGCGTCCCGTCTCTGTCATCACCAATATCCACAATGCCGACACTACTCAAGCACAGCGCAGGAAACGCGTTCGTAAAGGTGACGGGAGAACTGGAGTAGAAATTGTGAAAATGAACAAACCCAAGGCCATAGTGGATTACAATAAGTTCATGAAAGGTGTTGATCATTTTGATCAAATGGTCAAATATTATGAGTTTGCAAGAAAAACCCACAAATGGACCAAGAAGATCACTTTCTATTTTCTGCAAATGGCCATGCACAATGCATACGCATTGTATAACCACTACTCAACAGATACAAAAAAACTAACACTATTAGAGTTTCACGCAGTAGGAATAAAAGCCATATTGGCGTGGAACAGCAAGGAATGGCCAACAACAACAAGTATACCACATGTTCCCGACATAGATGCCAGCGCAGCTCCTCCTGCTGACGCGGCAGTTTCAACACCCGGGCCATCTGGTGCGAGGCGTCCTCTGTTCACCTCAACACCTAAAGCCCACTCATCAACCACAAATTCTGAAATGGACATTGAGGACATAGAACCACTTGATGTTTCTGATTTCATAGAAGATTCTACTACAAGTTTGGTGGTTCCTGTAGAAGACAATATTCTTCCAGTGAATCCAAAAAATACAAGAATTATAGATTCAGAACAACGTCTCAACTACAAGTTGACGCATGAACTCGTGCACTTGGCTAAAAAAAAAGATGCCGTGTTTGTTACAAGTCTGGCAAAAGGAGGGACGTGATATATGGATGTAAAACTTGTGATGTGGCTCTGTGTGCTGCGCCTTGCTACACAAGGTACCACCGAAAAAAGATATTTTGGGTGGAGAAAAAATAACCACCGGCAACACCTTCACTCCACCTAAGAAACATCAGATGAGCAACTTCAGGATCAGAAGCCTGAAGATGGTGGAGTGAAGAAAAAATGCTCAACTGTTGATCTTCAATCAACATAGACAGGGTAAGTACACCTATTTTGAATTTTTTATCATCTATAAGAAGTTATATTATATACGTTTTGTAGAGAATTTATTTGCGAATTTTTTGGTACCAGAATGAATATTATATCACATAAACTTCTATGAGTAAAAAAAACAAAAACAAAGTATGTTTGGAGGTGTGGCGGGTGTGGCGGTCGTGTGGCAGTGGGTTCCCTTTAGCCGTTGATATATCCTACACGTGGGAAATATTTGTATGTGTTATGTATATGTCTGTGTAGGGAATTTTACTGCGATCACTGTCATACAAATTATAAAATGTTTCAACAAGTATAAACATGACAAACATCAAACGAACGAAAGCAATGCGTTCGTTTCTGCCGCGAACGCATACTGAGCGACGTGGTTCTACATTTGGCGCTTCTCTTACACATGTTTTGTACAAATGTTATACATTTCATCTTATAGAAAATTTTATTGCGAACACATTGGTATAAAAAAGAAATACGTACATAGAAAAGTAGGGTCAGGAAACGTATAAATGTATAAACTTTCCAAGCATGATTTCCCCCCTGTGTTTTCGCCAGTGCGCTCGCGGCTAACTACTCTCCACTTCACACACTCTTGCGGGTGGGCAATTACCTATATTAAACATTCATATGCATATGTCCGTGTAGAGAATTTTATTGCGATTCCAATGATACCAAAATTACCGATGTAGGACAACTGTAGGCTTCGCAACCATTAAGAGAGTGGAAACATTTTGTTGCTGTTTGGCGCTCTCGGCGAGTGATCTGCATAGTTTTTTATTTGGTGTTGATACTCCTTATGCTTGGGCGGCATTTTATAGGTATGCTCTTATAGACAATTTCATTGCGAACACAGTGATACCAAATTTAAATACGTGCGCCTTCAATTATTGTCAGGACCGTCAAAAGAGTGTACACTTTTTCGGTCTTACGCGTAGGCGCGCGAAGTGCCGAAAGCATCTAGGGTATTGATTTTTTTTGAGCGCCGAGAGCGCGAAAGTGTTAATTAACAGTACTACTGAACTGTTATAATTATATCAAGAGACCAACAAGGAGCTGCAAGGGGCCAACAGGCCACTACAATCATGGGCCTCTAATAATGCAATCATGGCCTGTTACTGTCCAGGCCATGTTACTGTTACTTGTGACCTGTTACTGTGACATGGCCTGTTACTGTCCAGGCCATGTTACTGTTACTTGTGGCCAGTTACTGTCCAGGCCATGTTACTGTTACTTGTGGCCTGTTACTGTCCAACTTTAATTCTTCCTCTAGAAGTTGACCAGTAACTCCTCTACACTGCCTGTGGAGTACTGCTAAGTGTAATGTCCCTCCTGGAGGCTTAAACCTCCCATATATGGGACCGACATGCGACACTCCCCGTTACTCTGTTTCTAGGTGCCTAGTGACGGCAAGCGACGTTTCCCGCCTAGTACCTCTGATGCTGACGTCACACTACGTCTCGCCATTGGCGCTCTCTGATTGGTCAGACTTGACACCCCCCCCCCCCC